GACAATATCCATCCGATTTCTGACCGAATCAGATTCAATATGGGTCGTAATAAGATGGAAAAAAATCCCTAAATTAGATTAAAAGCCCTAGCTAAAATTAAAATCAAATCTTTTCTTCAGAATCATCTTTTCTCACACCAAAATCTTGACAAATTCGACGACGAAGAAGAAGAATATCTATGTTGATGATAACGATTTCGTCTCCATGTACATACCTTTGATGATGATGATGATTACAAGTTTGTGCACATGAAGCAAGCTCGTGTGGATGATGATGATGATGTTGATGAGATCTTTACGGATGAAGAAGAAGATGATGGCATGACCATTGCTCAAAGAAGCAGATCGAGAAAGAAGTGAAGCGATGCAGCGAAAATTTTATAGTTTGAATTTCGAGTTTGGACATTTTTACCCTAAATGAAACCGAATTTTTATTTCAATATGTTTAAAAATTTTTGATTTGCGTTGGGTTCGGTTTTGGATGATAAATCATTGTAAAAATAAAATAAAAAATTAATTTAATTAATATTATAGCTTTTTAGTATATTAAATGTATTTTTAAAACAGCCTGCATCAGTAATATTCGGTGTCGCAGTGACGGAGCTTCCTCGGAGTAGGTGATTTTGAAGAAATTTAGAAGTGGATAGAAAGTTATATTCGGGGGTTTCGGCAATTTCTTGGACGGGTTTTGAGATCGACCAGAAGGGCATCAGTTTCTCGTTGTTTCATAGATGATTAGCGGCGGCTAGTCGGAGTTTCGACGATGGTCCGGTGGTGGCTTGGTGATTCTTCACGATGAGAGGCCTATACGTAAAGGCGTTTCTAGATGTAGCATTTGTGTTGGGCTTTTAATGTAATGTACTGGGCTTTCCTTTGGTCTATGCCGATTGGGCTTTTAATGAAATATGGTTTGCCGACAAAAAAATGTATTTTTAAAAAATATCTAATATATAAAAGATGGGTTGCTCTCACACAAGTTAACACCTCTTTCCATGACACAACAACATTAAATAAAAAAAAT